GGCACTTCTGTACTCCTATTCAATGGACCACGACAAAGTCACTGAAAAAATGAGACATCTTCACTTCTGATATATTGCTCTCTGACATACGACCCCAATGCTCAACCCTTTTGGTCTCAGGACATTCTGCATGCACTTAAGAACTTTAGGAGACCCCAAAGAGCTTTGGTTTATGTGAGTTTTTATCTACCCATAGTCAACGTCTTCAAAATTTAAATGAAGATTTTAAAAATATGTATTCATTCAAGTCAAACAATAATAAAGTCATTGTATATTTACATAAATGACTTGTCTTAGTGGAAAATAACTATATTCCCCCAAACAAAAAACTATGTGTGTATATTTATATATAAATAAAGCATATATAAACATATGTATATTTATATTTTTGAAATTTTACTCAGTGTTTGGCCCTTATAGAAGAAAGTTGAGTTCTCATATTGCTTCTGAATCTATTTTTTAAATATTTTAATTATCTATTTTAGAGAAAGGGGATGGGAGGAAGAGAAAGAGAGACATCAGTGTGTGGTTGTCTCTCACATGCCTCCCAATGGGGATCTGTCCCAACAGCCCAGGCATGTGCCCTGACTGGGAATTGAACCAGCAACCCTTTGGCTCAAAGGCCAGTGCTCAATCCACTGAGCCACGCCAGCCAGGGCTCTGCTTTTACATTTACTCTGCTGTGCTATCACCTTCCCTGAAGCCACACAAAGACTGTACTTACACTCACGCGAGACTAAGAGTGAAGAGGCAAAGAGTATCACAACATTATTAGAAAAATTGTTTGGACCTCATGGTCCCCTTAAACACGTCTCAGGGACGGATTCCCAGGGTCCCTGGGCCACACTGTGAGAACCCCAGATGTATAGTATTATCCTGTAAATAAACTGAGTGCAAAACACTGTGTAAAAATGATGACAAACAGGTGAAACAGTGTGGCTTCAATATACAGGCAGGTCCACAGCTTAGTGGGTAAGCATGGCAGGCTCGGGAGACTCCCAGGATTCAAATCTTAACTCGACCACTTACCAGCTGCGTGACCAGGAGAAAATGAATTGACCTCTCTTCGCCTCAGGATATCATTGATAAAATGGGGGCAACCATAAAAGCACCAGCCTCCTTGGGTTATTGATTAGAAAGTGCTGAGGACTTGAATGCCAAAGGGAAGGCACAAAGGAAACGCTGTGTAAATTATGCGACTAATTCATGCAAAGTATTGTTATTAAGCAGGCTTAGAAAACAGTTAGGCAGGGTTATGTAACTGATGCTAAGCGATCTCCATGATGCATTGCCACATGAATGGAAAGATACAGCACTATGAGCATTCGATGCTGAGTCAAATAAATATGTACCTATAGATACCTATGACAAATACATACATATGCATAGATACATGCATAGATAAACATGTACATATGCACCAGTGTGTGGATGTAAACACAGGCATATAAATTTCAACGTGCATATAGTATTCGTGAAGTTATACATTAAAAGATGGTAGTGCCTTCAGGCCTTCCAGATGTCAAGATGTCAAGAGGTACCCTAGCTGGGTCCCTCAGTGGGCGAGAGCATGGTCCCAATATGCCAAGGTTGCAGGTTCGATGCCCAGTCAGATCACACAAGAAAGAACCAATGGGTGCATGAATAAGTGGAACAACAAATTGATGTTTCTCTCTTTCTCTCCCTTCCTCCCTCTCTAAAACAAATCAATCAATAAAATGTTTTTTCTAAAAACCAAATCTTTAACTGTGTCATCCCCTTCCCTTTTCAAAATGTAAAAAGCGAAACAACAAGTAGCATGATTTTTTAAAAAATGACAAAAAGGACATACATTTTGGGGCTCTGGGTTGTTCGCTTCTGGACAAAATCAGCAAATACCGAGCACTGGAACCACAATCTCCCATCCTGCTAGCAGGACAGACAGCATCAATTAATCAAGAGAGCAGACAGCACTAATTGATGGGGACATCCTTCCCCGCTGAGCAGGAGATCAAAATCCTTATCAACACTGCACTCTGCAGGCAGCCACAAAGGATCGATTAATCTTGACAAAGAAGCTGAGACTCATTTGCCATCCCAAATCTCCAGCGTGATCGCCAGAAATTCCTGAAACCACTGAAAATGACTCAGAGTTATTTCCCCCAGGGAGTCTGATCCTGCTGAATCTTAATTCTTTCCTGCTAATCTACTGCCCCCCCCCACACCAACTCTCCCTCTTCCAGATGGATTTAGAGTACTTCTGGCCCATCCCCCTTCTTCGTTACAGAAAAAGAAACTGAAGCCCCAGAGATTAAAAGACTTGCTCAAGGTCACAGAATGAGTTTGCATCAAATTCCTAGAGTAAAATGGAGCAGCGAAGGGAGTAGATTCTGGGGTTGGTAAGGCCTGGGTGTGAATTCTCCTTAGCACTTCTTTTTTTTTTTTTTTTAATGGTGAGATACAAAGGGAGGGAGAAAGGGGGAGGGAGAAAGAGAGAGAGAGGGAGATCAGTTTGTTGTTCCATTTGCATTTATTGGTTGGTTCTTTTTTTTTTTTTTTAAGATTTTATTCATTTATCTTTAGAGGGGAAGGGAAGGAGAGAGGGAGAGAAATGTCAATGTGTGGTTGCCTCTCACGCGTCCCCTGCTGGGAACTGGCCTGCAACCGAGGCATGTGCCCTGACTGGGAATCGAACCACAATCGTGTGGCTCGCAGTCCAGCACTCAATCCACTGAGCTACGCCAGCCAGGCTATTGGTTGATTCTTGTACGCACCCTGACTGGGGGGGTCAAACTTGCAACCTTGGTGTATGGGGGCAGCACTTTAACCAACTGGACTATCCTGCCAGGTACCTATGCATCTTACCAGCTGGGTGACCTCACCTCCTTGAGTCTCAGTTTCTCCATCTACAAAATGGGGCTCTGTGGAATGCCTCGTCCTCACAGGACGACTGAGAGAATCCAATCAGGTAATAAATGAAGGGTTCTCAGCACAGTGTTCGACCCTGAATGACAGCTTGATAAGTGTGGGTGTGGCTGAAGTTCTGAGTGTCCCGAAGAAGCTAAATCAAGGCAAGGCAAAGAACTGATGGGCTACACTTTGGTGTGTTTCCTTTCCAATACAACTCGAGAACAGGTTTATCCAACATGCAGGCTGTTTCCAGCCTCTAAATGCAGACCATGAGGTCATAGATTGCAGAGCCCACTGTGGGGCGGGGGTGTGTGTGATCATTCTTACACCAGCACTGCTGGAAACATCTCATAGGATCCTGGACAAAAGGAGTGTGTGGCTCATAGTAGGTGTGCAACAGAATGACTGAACCACTCACACGGGGAGAACGGCTCTGTCAAGGCTCATGGTTCTACCTGTGTGACCTTAAAGGAGTCATTCCTCCTCTGTGGGCCTAGCTGCAAAGGGGAGTCCAACAAACTCCATGTGAAGTCTTGGGGAGAAAAAGAAATAAAACAGTGAATGTGGGGAACGGGCGAGGAATAGTGACGGTACTCTAAGTGGTCAGAGGAATACCGAGAGTTAATTTTCATTGATTCTGACCCGTGTCCTTTGCAGTCCTACACGCTTTCCGCGGGCTGAATTATAAGGTGCTGATGTTAAGGATGATGAGGACTGAGCCGTTGGACAAATACCAGTCTAACCTTATTCTCTGACCCTAGGGGCAGAGACCTGAAGCCCGCCCTCCACCGCCAGCGCCCTCCCCCTGGGCAGGCAGAGACGTGTTTGAAATACAGTTTATTGAAGTTTCTGTTGGTATTTACATATGATACACGGTAAATAACAGAGCCAGGCCCCCCACCCACCCCTTCCCCAACCCCAGAGCCCCCCTCCCCCCAGCCTCGTTAAAAATCGCTGCGTAAGGACAGGTTAACTGCTGCGGTCCCCCTCCCCCCTCCCCCCTAGGATGCAAACTAAAAGCCCCCGTCCCTCCCCCCACCCCGGGGGCCTTTCTGCTTCCGTGTACAGCACTGTGCTACCTCGCCCCTCCTCCCCTAATAAGGGGGGGGCGTGGGCGAATTTCTAAGACGCCCCCAAATCTGTCCAAGGGGGAGGACGGACCCTTGAAAGAGGCCAGAGTTGGGGGTCTGAGATGGGAAGGGGAACTTCAGTGAAGGGGAGTGCCAGAAAATGGAAGACTTCGAGGTTTGGGGGGGTGTCGACCCCCCGCTACTGTCTCTCCCTCCCCGGACGGAGCCTCGAGGGGGAGGAGGCGGGCACAGGTGTGGAAACGGCGTGGAATCCCCTCACGCTAGGGTCTCCATCCTTGACGTGTGGGGTGTAGGGGAAAAGGAGGAAGGAGACAGAGTTAGAGGAGGAAGAGGAAGGAGAGGAGGAAGAAAGAGAAGCTCGGGCAGCAGAAAAAGCGAGAAGAGTGGTTAGACGGCGCCCCCTGAAAGGCAGGTAACCCTCAGGAGGCCGGGAAGAGCCCAGCTGGTGAGAAAGAAGGGGGTCTCCCGGGGGGGCAGAGACGCGTGTGGGAGGGAGACCAGATTAACCAAACCCACGGCCTACAGACCCCCGACCCACTCCGGGGCTGTGGGCGGGGCAAAGAAGCCCCCCCACTGCACTCAAGGGCCCCCCGGGCGCGCAGGTGAGACGGAGCCAGGAGAGAACTAGGAGCAGAAGGGAGGAGAGGATGGCAGGCATTCCTGGCGGCTGCCGGACCCTACTCTCCAGCCCAGCGCCCCTGTGGGGAGGCAGCAGGTTGGGGGGGCTCCGGGGAGGTGGGCGCCTGCACACTGGAACCAGCGAGTGAATTAGCTGGGAGGGCGAGGCCCGGAGGGGCGGGGCCTCGGGAAAGGGCGGGGCCTCGGCAAAAGGGGGCGGGCAGTCGAGGGAGTGGAGCCACCTGGAGGTAAACGGGCCCAATGAAGTGTAAGGGTCTGGAACTGGCAGGGACTAATGAAAACCGAAAGGGTGGGCGTGGCTACTGGGCAGGGGGTGGGGCTAAAGTGTGAGCAGCGCCCTCCTGGTGAAAGCGGAGTCCAGGAGAGACTGGAGGCCCCAGGGGAGCTGAGCCGCAGGGAGACCCCTAGGGAGGAGGAGGAGGAGGAAGGGAGCTCCGAGGGGCACGGCCTCAGCAGGGCGAGGTGGAGATGTGCAGGTGGTCCGGGTACTTGATGGCCGGAGGGTAGTTCTGCGTCATCTGGATGGACACGTCGCTGGAGATGTCGGAGGGGCTGCGCCCGCGACGCCACGTCTCTGGCTGCAGGAACTGGCCCGAGTAGTCGGAGCAGTCGCTGAGACGCGGGCGGTAGAAGGCGGGGTGCGGGCGGTACATCTCCTCCTCCGCGTAGCGCTTGGTGAACAAGTACACGGACATCACGCCAGCCCCCTGTGGCAAGGCAGGGTCAGAGTCCCGGAGACTCGCAACCCGCGGGACCCAAGATTCCAGGTCCCCATCTCCCTTTTCCCCCAGGTCCCATCCCCCTCCACCCTCAGAACCCCAGGATTCCAGGCCCCCATCCCCCCTTTCCCCCAGGACCCCAGAATCCCAAGTCCCCCTCCCCCTTTTCCCCCAGGGCCCCAGAATCCCAGGTCCCCATCCCCCTCATCCCCCAGGGCCTCAGCCACCACTCTCCCAGGGTCTATGCCCCCCACTCCATCTCCTCTCCTCTTCCTCCTGGACCCCGAGACCCCTCCCTCCCCATTCAAAGCTCTCACGTGGGCCCCAAGACATCACCTCTTTGAGCAGGAAGGAGGAAGCAGCGAAGGCAAAAGACCACCCGTATCGATAGTGGAAATACTGCTCAGAGCTGCTGGGCCTGTTCATGACCTCGTCATTGATGCTGGAAATGTAGAGAACCAAGCCCACCACCAAGGAGAGGCCTGGGGGAGCAGGGGGTGCCCTTGGTCCGTTAGCTGTGGACCTCTCTCCCCAGCCCGCACCCTCCCACCACTGTCCTCTCCCTCTCCTCCCGACTGTTGGATGTGAACTAACTTCCAGCATTTTTGTTGTTGTTGTTGCATTTGTTGAGGCTTTCACTGGTTGATTCCTGTACCTGCCCTGACCAGGGAGGGATGGAACCGGCAACCTTGGCGTGTGGGGATAATGCTCTTACCAACTAAGCTACCCAGCCAGGAGCTAACTTCCTTCTTTGGAATCCCCTTGTGTGCTGGGTCTTGGCTGGGTGCAGCAATCCCAGAGATGAATCACCCTCCTTCTCCACCACCCAACTTTGTCCAGGAGCTCCCAAGGTCATTGGGAAAGGCAAATGATGAGAGCTGGCCAACAGGCAGAGTCAGGAAGAAGGACGTTTGTCCAAGTCATACAGGAAGTGGGTAGATAAGAGTACCTGTGATACCCCTCTGGGCAGAGGGGAGGCCAAGGGCAAAGGCTTGGAGGCTGGGCCTGAGCTGATCCATCCACGTGGCTACAACATGGACCGCAGCCACAAGACGTGGGGTCAAACTGGGGGGGGGGGGGGGGGGGGAGGCAGGGACACGACCATGGTAAGCCTCACATGCTGGGCTAAGGAGCTCAGCCTTGATGCCCAGGGCAGTAGGGAACCATGGAAAATCTGGAGCAGAGGAATGACAGGGCCGGAGTGGAGGGTTAGAAGATCATTTGGGGGCTGGCTGGTTTTGAAAAGAGATTGGAGGGGAAACACTGGAGTTGTATATTCTGGGGTGGAGGGGAGGAGGAGGTCTGAGCTGAGGTATGGATAGTAATAGCAGCAACATCAATAGTAATAACAATAAGAGCAACTGCTTATATAGATCTTGCTCCCTGCCCGGCACCATTCTCAGTGTCAAATGCGCTTTAACTCATTCAAACGTTACAGCACTTTCAAGTCGGTACCATTTTTATCTCCATTTACAGATGAGGAGATAGAGGCACTGAAGGAAGGTGGAAAGGAGAGGTCTGGGCTGAGAATTTTTAGGAGGCGAATAACACTTTCCCCAAGATGATCTTTCTTTGTAACAGCAGCTGTGCCAAGGGTCCCTAAATGAAACGACGTAATCCTTATCGGCATCTTCCCCCTGAATCCTACAAATAAATACTTGTGTGTCCATCACCCCCAGAATAAGTAGACATTCCTTCCACTGCCTACAACAGGGCTCTTTCGGGTATGGCCTCCTAGCTAAGAATGGTTTTTACGTAACTAAATTTGTTCTAAAAGACCAAAAGAAGAGTGATATTTTGTGGCATCTAAAAAGTATGTAATTGCATTTAGCAGTTTCTCAGAGTGTTAGAGCTATGCCCTGGCTGGCTAGCTCGGCTGGTTAGAGCATTGTCCTGATACGCCAGGGTTGTGGGTTTGATCTCCTTTCAGGGCACATACAAGAATCAGCCCATGAATGCATAAATCAGTAGAACAACAAATCTGTGTTTTCTCTCTCCCCTTCCCTCTCCTCTCAAAATCAATCAATAAAAATTTTTAAATAAATAAAATAGAATGACCATGTGACTCAGCAATTTCACTCCTATGTGTCTACTCAAGAGAATTGGAAACAGATGCCCACACCAAAACTTGCGCCCGAACATTTGTAGCAGCAGTTTTCGTAATAGCCAACAAAGTAGAAACGACCCAAATGGCCATCAACTGGCATGGCCATGAAGGGAATATTATTCAGCCAGAAAAAGGAAGTACTGGCTTTTGCGACCACATGGATGAACCTAGAAAATATGTTATGTAAAAGAAGCCAGATGCTACGTAAAAGAACCACATATTGCATGGATGCATTTATACGAAATGCCCAAAACAAGCCAAACCATCAAGGCAGAAAGTAGATTAGTGGTTGCCAGGGAATGAGGTGAAGGGGGATTATGACTGGCTGTTAAAGGTGTGGAGTTTCTTTTGGGGGTGATGAAAATGTTGTGGAATTAAGTAATGGGGGTGCACAATCTTGTGACTATACTAAAACCCACAGAATTATATGAGTTTTAGGTTATAAGTCTAGGAATTTCAAATTTTAAGGTCCAGAAGTAAAATTTTATTGGAACACAGCCAATTTATTTACACATTGTCTGTGGCTGTATAGGCAAAGTTCAGTGGCTGTAACAGATACAGTGAGGCCAGTAAAGCTCTATTGGTTGTCTGACTTTCCTACAGAAAAACTTGACCTACCCCTGAACTACAATGCCCATGCAATGCCAGCCAGGCTCATCCCTGGTCCCTCCCTCCTTGCTCCCTCTACTTAGACCACATGAATTTCTCCTTGTTCCTTGAACACATCAAGCTCATTTCTGCCCTGAGGCCTTTGAGCTTGCTCTTCTCTCTTCCTGGAATGCTTTCCCCAGATTTCTCTCTCTCTCTCTCTCTCTCTCTGTCACTTCGCTTAGCCCTCTCCTTCCTTATCACTTCTTTAGAAAGGCCTTCTATGATCTCCCTCTTGAAAAATAAGACAAAAACAAACAAAACAAAGCCATGCTCTCTCATTCAAAGTAAGACAAAAGCAGGTGCAAACTATGAGGGGCTACCATGTCTCATGCATCAGATCATCAAAAGCTAAAAAGCTTCACAACATCCCTGGCCAGCTAGCTCAGTTGGTTAGAGCATTGTCCCGATACACCAAGGTTGTGAGTTCAATTTCCATTCAGAGCACATACAAGAATCAACCAATGATTGCATCAGTAAGTGGAAGAACAAATTATTAATCTCTCTCTAAATCAATAAACTTAAAAAGCTGTTATTTTTTTGTGGTGCAGCCAGGGGAATGAAAGTTCTTATATGTTGCTTGTGCAGCCGTACAATAACACAGCCCCCACGGAGGGGAGTTTGGCCATGACTAACAAAACCACACAGGTAGTTATGCTTTAACCTAGCAATCTCACTGGGAGAAGTCTGCCCTGGAGAAATCTGTCCAGTGAAGTTATCTGTTCGATGAAAGCTCACAGGCACAAGTTAATTCACTGCAGCAGTGAGTGTTCATAATTGCAAAATATCAGAAACAACCCAGATGCCCTTGATTCATGAAATAATCTAGAAAACATCACATTGCGGAGTACTGAGCCACTGTGCAGTGAGAATAAGGTCAAGCTCAGTGCACTGATGTGGATGGAGTTCAGTGATGGTTCAGACTATCTCACCACATTAAAAAAAAAAAAAGCACAACTCTGTCTGCCGTGGCTCAGTGGATTGAGTGCTGGCCTGTGAACCAAAGGGTCACAGGTTCCATTCCCAGTCAGGCAACATGCCTGAGTGGTGGGTCAGGTCCCCAGCAGGGGGCGCATGAGAGGCAACCACACATTGGTGTTTCTCTTTCTCCCTTCCCCTCTCTTTAAAAATAAATAAATAAAATCTCTTTAAAAATTCACAAAAGAGTGTACAGGATGCTACTCTGAAGCAAAGAAAGAAGGGTACGTAAGAACACATGTACGCATCTGTTTATTTTTGCAATGAGACAAAGGAAAGAAAACAAATGCAGTTGATAACCTACAGGGGGCAGGTGAGAATAGGAAAGAAGCAAGCAATAGGGAGGAAGTGGCACTCCCCTGAGCTTTGACCTTTGCAACTATGCTAACATTTTGTGTATTCAAAAGATAATTTCAACAAGGATGGGGAAAAACTAAAAGTGAATATGGACCAACATAAATAAAACTGACTTCCCATCAAATGAAGAGTACCACCACAGGAGGGGAAAATTAGTAATCTAGTAACTTATGAATGGAGTACTTTGATTATATATCTCAGGCCAAAGACAAGGAGATCATCAAAGAAATCTTGAACCTTACATAATATGGTTATTGTTGTTGTTAGTGGTCTAGGGGTAACAGTTCTGAAATCATTCTGTGTACATTGTAGGATTGAGCAAATGTATAAGTTTATTAATGTTTTGGGGAGCTAGAGTTCTCTTCTTTCTCTGAAAGAAGGAAGATACAAATCAGAATAGGGTAAAGGGAGGAAGAAACCTCTGGTGTTTAGGTGCAATATAAGCTCCTATTTTACAAATATATATAATTTGCCAGCTTTCTCTCCTGAAAGATTCCAGAAGCAGTGACATCTCAGCAGCAATGAGCACACCTAGCACCCAGATTTTGGTCTCTAATATCACCCCCCACTATATAAGGAGCTTGGGCTCCTGGGAGAAATAGCTAATTTGAGGCCTGGAGAAGACATGTAAAAGTGTATTCATTTGAGCACGGGCCTGCGAACCAGACAATCGCGGTTCGATTCCCAGCCAGGGCACATGCCTGGGTTGCAGACCAGTTCCCTGCAGGCCAGTTCCCAGCAGGGGACGCACGAAAGGCAACCATACATTGATGTTTCTCTCCCTCTCTCCTTCCCTTCCCCTCTAAAGATAAATAAATAAAATTTTTTTTAAAAAGTGTATTCATGCCACAAAGTAAGGAAGTGCTGAAAAAAACAAAATGAAAGGAACATGTCAAACAAGAACATGGAAACTAGCTTGAAAGAAATTCCTTATTGTCCAACTGGGGGTGATTTGAGCATCAAAATGAATACTAAAAGTAATGGCAAATAACACACTGAATTTTTTAAATGTGAATACAGAATGATATACTGTAAAATCAATAACTAATAAAGGAAAAGAGAAAATTCTTATTCACAGAGTTAGAAAACACCATTTTGCAACCTTAGTGGTAATACTGGGATTTGCACAAAAATCATCAGTGGACATTGAATCTCTGGATTGAATTTCCCCATGGAATAGCTACTAATTACAAAGAGATTATAAAGTCGGACAGAGAAAAAACAAACACCATGATTTCACTTACATGTGAAACCAAAATAACACAATAAACAAACAGAATTAGAACAGACTCATAAATACAGAGAACAGACTGATGGTTGCCAAAGGGGAGGGGTGCTGAGGGAATGGGGGAAAGAGGTGAAGGGATTAAGAAACACAAATGGGTAGTTTTA